TTGACTCTATGTTAACCCCAAGTCAAACCCCTAATTAATTACAATCTTGATTTTTAAAAATTTAAAAATATAATTAGAATTATTTTATTGAAATTTTTTTAACAATACTAGATGAGTAAGAAATAGAGCCTCAACGTATATCCTATAACCTTTTTTTTTCTCTTATACCACATCAATTTTTTTCTCAAATTATTGCATCTTAAATCTCATGACAAAAGACATGAATTTGAAATAATCAATCTGTGTCTCTGTATTCTAACAAGTATATTGTTACATTATAGAAAAGTTAATTAAATTTAAAATAATACAATGATATTTGAAATAGAATTATGATAGTGTTGATGTAAGTATAGCTAATTAATCTTAAATATTATTGTTGATAGTATATACAAGAGGGATATTGTCACAAACCTAGCTGCAAGTAGTAAACGTTAAACGAAGTTATGTTGTAGTTTGATTTATTTCATCATAACTCAAATTTCATTCAATTATTTTATATATGAGTGGTGCTAAACATTAAAAAAAATGACGATAAAAATATAAAAATTCATAAAAGTCTTTAGATTATTGATTTGAAATTAAGGTTATATAAATTTTATTAATTGTGTATTTGTTAAGAGTTTTTATCACATTTTTTTAATATTTAACTTTGCTTTTCATAAATAACAGCAAGATATTATAACATAAGTTCAATGAAAACTAATGGAGATATCATATGCCAAGCCACAAATCTTTCTTAATCTCCTTGTAGTTCAAGATATGAGTGGGAATGTATAGGAATTGTAGTTATTTTTTTAAATGCAAAAAGAAAATTACTTTATTGTACAGCTGGCTTCCCATTACAATCCGGTCAAGTGAATCATTGTCGTTGGCAAATGTTTCAAGCACATCGCCGCCATAAAGCGAAGACGGTGCTAATTAATGCGGCTGGTAAGAAAGAACAGGGCAAGTGTTTGCCCTAGTAACGAGGTGTACAAGTTGATACAAGCTAATTCATTTTGATTTAATTTCTTTTTAAAAAGTAGATCATAATATTGTTTTGGAATTTCTTTTTAAAATTAAATTAAGTTGTGACCAGATCATATATATAGATTTATAAAACTAATTGGATTAAACCTGTCAATTGCAAGTTGATTTTTTTAGAAAAAACTTAGTTTGGTTCATAGAAAATTGAGTCCTAGATCAATTCATCTAGAGGATTTGATTTTATATCTATGGGTTAAAAGATAAAAAATGATAGAAAAAAATGACTTTCTTGTGTATGCTATAATACTACACAGCATGATATGTGCATTTTATTATCCAAAAATAAAAATTGAAATAGCAATAAGAAGGGGTGGGGGGTTTGAAGAGAAAAGACAAGAGGAAAGCGAAATTGAAATAGCAATAAGAAGGAGGGGGGGTTGGGTTTGAAGAGAAAAGACAAGAGGAAAGCTTGAAACTTCATTTAAGAGTTTAAATTTTATACATGAAATCGTATTTCTTTTTTATATGATTTTTAAGTAAGTTGATCATATCTTATTTTAAATATCAACTTTTATATTTTCAACGACAGGTCATTTATATATACTTTATTTTAAATATTAGTTTTTGTTTTTTTATAGATAGATTTATATTGTTCATCCAATCAATTTAAAATATTTTTAAATTCAATCCTTTTATTATGTAGAAAATATTTTATTTATTATTCTTTGTTAATGACATATCAACTTATTATATAAAGAACTTTTGAGACCATATGAATGATCAAATAACATAAAAAAAATATAAATTAATAACAAAGCTCAACAACGGAATTAAGATCTTGCATAAAGAGAAAAGCATAAAAAAACCAGAGACTTAGGTCCCGTTTATTTGTTGGAAAGTAGTTTTATTTTGAGAAGTGAATCCTGGAAAAAGTAAATTTTAAGAAATTAAATTCCGGGAAAGCATTTTCCGATGTTTGGTAGTGTAATAGAAAATAAGTTGGAAAATACTTTCCAGTGTTAGGTTATGTTATGAGAAATAAGCTGGAAAATAATTTATTAATGTTTTATTTTTTTCAAATTTATTAAAATAATAAGGAACAAATCTTACAAATTAAAAGGTTGAATGGGAATGAAATTGAAAAAAATATAATTTCATAAATTATCTTAAATAAAATAAATAATAATCAAAATAATAGAGATCAAATAAAAAATAAAAAAATTAAAAGATGAAAAAATTAGAATAATAATAATTAACATTTCATAAATTATTTCAAATAAAATAAGTAACAAT